TTCAAAGCTTTCACCCTTCTTGAGAAAATTAAAACTTTAAACTGCAGTCAAATTTAAAAATGTCAACCCTAGAAAGTAAAGTAGGCTAATAGTAGTAAACATATAAAGCATCACTTTTTGTGCTTTTTTATTTTTATTTTTTATTTTATTTTTTACATAACAGTATACTTCAAAACTGAGTAGTTATCTAAACTCCGGTTAAATTAGTGGAGCTATGATCTAATCACACTCTTTTTCATGCTGCTTCTTTTTTTTCCCTGATCTAATTATGCGTAATTACTCAACACTGAAGGGGTTAATTAGGATTACTGATGCACACAATTATGTATATTTAAAGGCATTCTTATTTGTGTTAAAGTTGTATTTGCTGACTCRAGTCTTGTTCTTATAAGAAGGAATTAGCATTTTTGTTTGTGATAATCCACTGAGTCRTGTTCAGTTTTATCTTTATTATTAGTAGTATCATGACCAAACACATCACTAAGACCTAGCATCTCTCAAAGGAGTGCATATTGCCTTACATCATCCATATCTGGCAATATTAGTGTTGAATTCTTTTTTTTTTTTTTTTCTGTTGAGAGTTGATTTCACAAACGAAGGCCTAAAGGAAAGAATGAGCACAGTATGTGATGCCAATTGACCTTCATTAGGACCAAATGATGAATTGAGGCTCAGATAAGCAAAGAACACCAGAAATAAATCACTCCACGTTCGTTTTTTCTGATCTGTGCACGTGTCTGTGTGTTCATTTGTTTGTTGTGCTAGCAAAACATCTGATAAACCACTGCATGGGCTTTTCTAAAACTTTTAAAAAGTAAACAGTTAATGTACAACTGGATGGGTGATGTGGAGACTTTTTATTGGGATTAATAGAAGCAACAGAATACAATTCATTTTTAATATACATTTGAAAAAAGCGAAACAATCTGATCAACTTGAGCCATATAAAAATACTGGATCAATTTATTGTGCTGGACCTCTAAAATGAAAGTGGATCCAGTCAGTGTTGTTGCACACTCTTTCTAGTACATTCTTTGAACTCCCTGCTTGTTGGCTCAGCAAAGGTGCCCCCATGGTACATTTCAATCTTTGTCCCACTGTACATTGAAAGCCTTTATTAACATACAGTGCGATGAGGGTTTTGGTCAGAGTTGTGAGAGAATATGTGTGGTCAGCCCATTCTGYCTTTATCCAGGTCAAAAGACACGATAACATCCAACAGGCTCCACTGGAAAATAAAGTCATGCAGATTGTGTCCTCTCATATTTTCTCAGCAACGAATCAAAAGGACTCAGATTCTCTAAAGGTAAGATCCTCCTGGATTATAACAAACAAATATAACATACGTTTTTCTGTTTATTGCTTATTTTCATTTCTAGGAGATTCACTGATTTAGCAACCAATTTATGGGAAACTGCCAATTGCTGTATTTAGTTTTTAGATAATGACAGATTATTTGTTGATTGTATGTGACACAAGTAAGGATAACACATTGAGAAAGCTGGAAAGAGCCTAAAGTTATTGCATGCTGCAAAAAAAGATGAAGTGGATGATAGTGTTTTTGCATGTGTGTGTGTGTGTGTGTGTGTTCACAAGATACCTCATAAACCACTGGAACGATTTTAATGAAACTTTCATGAAACCATCATTCATAACATTAAATATAAATTTATAACTGAATACCTTTTGAAGCTTGACAGATTCAAGATGGCTGACACAACCTATCGAAAATAGTGAATATAAACATGGATATGATCCACTGAAATTTTCCGACATTGAGCTAAAATTTGATGTGGTAGTAGAGAGTCATTCGCTATATGTCAGAGCATGTTATCTTGTGATGTGACATTATTTTTAATGTTTGACCAAACTGACTCCAACTCTAATTTCTCAACTTAAGATGAAAAACTGTGGATTTAAAAGCAGAGATGAGACGTTTGACTCTTTGAAGGGATGCAGAGCTTGATGATTAATTTGTTTCATGGAGCTGTTCAACAGAGCCGTTCGATTTTGAACGTTATACCATCACATGGGAAGATACGTTACCACGTATATGCTTTACGTCATCATGTGGGGGAACCATGTGTTTTAAGCCGAACCCCATCACCCTTTTYCACGAGCTAGTGTACTCCACCCCTCGCCCTGTTTTTCTTGAAAAAAGTGAAGGAGTGATTGTAAAATGAAGATATTATAAGGAGTAAAAAACAATACTTTTTTATTTTTACTTTATTTTAGTTTTACTCTCCGCAACTACCCTTCATTGTAAGGAACTGTTCAAATGGTTCAAATTGTTTGAAAATGTTGCATCTCTAACATGCATCCCATCAATGCCTCTACTGTAGATGGTTTCTTTACCAACAATCAAAAAGCCATTATTTAATAATAACACCTGATTGTTTTAACTTTTTCTTTTCYCAAAAGTGTCAAGACATTCATCTAGGATATGATACATGCTTTGGCTAATACCTCCTGTAAATAGTCTCTCATCTACTGCTTGTCTACAGAAATGGGGGACTGGTCCATCCTTGGTCGTTTCCTTACAGAAGTTCAAAACCATTCCACGGTTATTGGAAAGATTTGGCTGACGATGCTGCTCATCTTCCGCATCATGCTCGTGGCCCTGGTGGGGGATGCCGTGTACAGCGATGAACAGTCCAAGTTCACCTGCAACACCCTGCAGCCCGGCTGCAACAACGTCTGCTACGACACGTTTGCTCCCGTCTCCCACCTGCGCTTTTGGGTCTTCCAGATCGTTCTGGTCTCCACGCCTTCCATTTTCTACATCGTCTACGTCCTGCAAAAAGTCTCCAAGAAGGAAAGCTCAGAGGTCAGGAAAGTGAATGCCGTGCCCAAGGCCTCRTCTCTGCTTGAAAGGCCGAGGCATTTAAGAGTGGAGAAAGAGACGGTCCTGGAAGCTGGCAGTTCGTATGACACCGCTTTCACAAATGAGGACTGGAGCTCACAGGAAAGTGAATACGAGGAGAGGAACCAGCTGGATGGAGAGATTAGAGAAGTGGGTGAGGATCCAACTCATCTTTCAAGTAAAGTGTTGCTTATCTACATTGTCCATGTTGTGCTGCGCTCCATCATGGAGATAATATTCCTGATTGGGCAGTACTACCTTTTTGGATTCGAAGTTCCACACCTGTTCCACTGCGAGACCTACCCTTGTCCGAACAGGACCGACTGCTTTGTGTCTCGAGCAACAGAGAAGACCATCTTCCTGAACTTCATGTTCAGCGTCAGCCTCGGCTGCTTCATCCTGAATATCGTGGAGCTGCACTATCTGGGCTGGATTTATATATTCCGAGTGCTRTTCTCCGCATTCTGCCTGTGCTGCGAGTCGAACAGAGAGCCCATGCAGCAGGTGGAGTTGTATTCCTACAGTAACCCACTGCTGCTCGAGCTCAAACATTCCTTGCGTGGGAGAGTTGTCCTGCAGACGGCTGCGGCCATGTCCCGGGACAGGAGCGGCGGGGTCCCGAACCAGGTCCCGGCCATCTCCTTTGAGACAGACTCGACTTTGGAGTGCACCTCGAAGAGAACTTCTGACGAACGGGATCGCAGCAAAACAAGACCACACAACGTTGCCAAAATAGGACGAGGTAAAAAATCTTGGCTGTGAATTATTCAATCTTTTGTGTCACCTTTAATATATTTTCTTTTTAAACATGTGCAGCCCTATTTATGAAAAGGATGGGACAATGTGCAAAATCTAAATGAAAACACAATACAGTGTTTTGCAAACTTTACAGACCCAGTATATTTTACATTGTGAACTCCTGTCAGTGTATTACATATTCTTCATTTCTCATTCTGTCACTCATTGTGCCTTCTTTTTCTTGCTATCAGTTCTGTAAGTCTGTTCTGCTGCTATGTTAGCTTTTTGTTTTCTAAAATTTCCCAAACTCCTTGTACAAGTCTGTATTCCTTCTACCAGGATAAAAAAATAATAATAACAGATCTGATTCTGTACACCACTGCATTGACTCAGGAACACTTTCACAAGTTACTGCCTGTAAACACAGTTCACTGTGCCARCCACAAATGCAATCTGAAGCTCTATCATGCAGAAAAGAAGTAAACATCACCCAGAAAAGTCAGACTAATTTAAATGTAATTATTTTTTGAAAATCCAGGGTTCCACGTCTCCCATATTAAAAAGGAGAGGGACCATCCTGTTATCAGTGCACAGTTCAAAAGCCTGCCTCTCTGATGGTATAGGGGTTCATTAGTGTCCATGTTAGGTTTAGGCAATTTACAAATATGATAAGGCACCATCAATGTAGAAATGCCAAACTGGTTTTAGAGCARTATATCCTGCCATCCAGATAATGTCTTTTTCAGGAAGGTTTTGCATATTTCAGCAAGTCAATGCTAATCCTCATACTGAATCTATAACAGCAACATGGCTTCATAAAAGTCCATGTGCTAAACTGTGCAGCATGTATTCCAGATCTCTCACTATTTAAAAACATTTGACCCATCAGGAATCAAAAAAAGTCGGCAAACAACTAAATGACTTGTTAAACAACTAAAATCCTACATCCGTCAAGGATGGGACAACATTCCCTCCAAAACCTCCATCTTTTGGTCTCAATTTCGTAGCTTCAACATAAGTTTATGACTGTATGTAAAATGGGGTTTTTGAGATTTGTAAATGACTGCATTTTTATTTTAAGTTTTTACAAAATAAACCAACTTTTTCACAATTGGTTTTGTACATCTTACATTTTTTTGGAAGAATTTTTTTGATTGAATTTTAAACAATGTAATTTTTAAATGTTTTGTAATAATTTCTTCACTTGTAGTAAGATATTTCATGAATGGAATTTGTTCGTATCAAGACTTTGAAAACAGCTGCGTATTGCATCAAGAATAAAAAAGAGAAAATAAAATCTAAAACCCTTTATGGCTCATTGGGTATTTGTTTATTGTAGTTATTGTAGATTTAAATGACTACCAAGCCTTTTTTAAAAGTTGGTTTTGTTGAAACTTTTAGTTTAATTTATTTTGKTGTAACTTGTTCTTACTTTTACACACTCCTACTTTACTCACCTGATTCAAGATGGCCACCACATCCAACTGACCTTTACAATTACAAAGACAGCTAATTTTTATTACTTAAAAATCAATGGCAGTCAGACAATGTGCTAAAATTTGGTGTGTTAGTAGCTGAAAGTCAATTAGAACAAATAATCTAAGTGCTGTGTAATTGATGCTTATGATTTCAGGGTCAACCTAGTTCTTTGTTAGCAAAATATCTCATAAAGCRCTGAAWKGTTTTTAATTTAAATGTAATGACATAACCATATGTAAAAAATGCATGTACATTTACAACAGATTAACTTTTAAAGTCAACCCTACSACAAATGGCATCCACAACTGATAAATATTGATCATTAAATTGCACAGCACATTCACCATTTTCATTAAAAAAAAACTTTATTACTCATTAGTTTTTAAGGCAATGATATATAACTATTTATTGATAAGCAAAGACAAAAATCAGCATTTCCCAATAATGTTTTGCAAAATCTTTTATGTAATTTAAAGATTTTGTCCAGCAAAGCTCTGACAGCATGGAACTAACCTGAATTGATTCCAGTGAACAAAAAGTCCAGGAGGGGTCACTGCGYTCCAATGTGCACTGCTGATGCCTTCAGGTACTGTTGGGAATAAACATTGAGAGTAATTTAAACATTGACAATTATTACAATTATTATGTTGCTAAAATACTAAAATTTAGATGTACTGGATTTTATGTTAAAGCATAAGAGATGTTGCTTACTTCACTTTTAAAGCTTAGACTATATAAGGCTTTGTGTTTATATTTATTCAGTAATTTATCTAAAATTGTTTCTATTTCTTTATTGTAGCCTACTGTACCACAGTTGTGTAGTTTTAATAATTTTCAAAATACAGTAGGCTAACAAAGGCGTTTGAATTATTTCGGGTTGTTTACCTCGGACCACAGTAATCCCACAGTTTTCGGAAATCGGAGCTTTGAGATAGCCTTTGAAGGCATCACCAGTACATTCCCGCACCTACAGTCAATTACTGCGAGGAGGAAAATGCCGAAAACTTCTCCTAGTTAAGACAACAACGCTGTCAGTTTTGAACATTTCCAGGTAAGTGGTTCTCATGCTTTTTGAGTGCTTTGGCTTGGTGATATTTTTCATCAGTGACATTTGTTGTATCTGCTGAATGTGTTCCCTGTGCTAGATAGAGAACSAGGGCAAAGCAGCTTATAGGCAGAGAGCATTATGGCCAGGCTTGTCAAGGCGACAAAACAAGCTGCACYAGACTTCAGAAACACAAATGTCACTCACTTACTGTAACTAGAACATGCTTTAAAGTAATGGAGGATCAATTTTCTGCTATTTCACAACCGTTTTGACCCTGGAGTAAATGTGAATAAAGGTGAAAATTTGCTAAATGTACAGGACAGACCCGTGCAGCTTTTTACTTATTTGAAACCCAAATGTTCTCCATCACTTTGTGGTGATGCTGACAGTTTGAGAGCAACTCTAAAACGCCTCTATCAGTCTGTGTATCTGGGCCAACTTCACAGAAATTGTGTCACAGATGTGGAAGAGTAAAGAACTAAGATAACACTTTCAAATTATGAAGTTATATATACAAAGGGAGAGATTATGTCCAGAAATCAAATAACATTGAAATATGTCAGTAAAATATATAAAATAGTAGTTGTTCATGTTGTTTGTGCCATCATTTTGTTCTTTTGTTTTTAACTAATCAGCAATGTTTGTGCACGTTTTATTCTTTATTCTTTATTATTCTATAAAAGATGCCTCCTCCAGTAAAAATATATTTTTAGTATTTTTGCTGATTATTCTAAACAAATAACAATAAATGACATTTGGTTAAGTTAAAACTCATTGATCTCTGTAATCAGATGCCGTAAGTGGAGCCAAACTGTCTGCATGCAAGAACAGAGCTTCGCAATTTACTTTTAAACATAATCAGTAACATGAAGAAGTGGGATATATCATTACCAATTATTGTATTTAACTTCAAGAACACTTAAAACAATATATAATACAAAAAAACCTCCATCTGCTGTTTCTTTGACAATCACAATGGAAAAAATAAATCAGTACTCAACCTAATGTAACATTCTGGTCATCTTACATACAAGGGAAATAGATATTCTAATAAAATATGGAAAAAAAATAAAAGTTATGATCAGAGTCCAAAAGCTCAGATRATCAGTGAGTTTGTCTGATATTTTGGTTTGTGGTGGCCGGAGGTTTTAATAGCAAACTTGTTTTTATTTAATCTGTTTTTTGTCTCTGATCACAGAGGACAGAAATTAATTTCACCGTAATCTAAAAATGAAGCACAGTGTGAAATAACTCATCTGAAAAACCAATTACTAGTTGTAAAGAACGGGATATCATAAATCACATAAACTGTTTTTAGTCTTMTAAATCCCCAAAATGCAGATGAATAGGAGTTTGATTTTATAWATATTAATTGCGTGCAAAAGTTAGAAAGGGTAACATACGCCATCTGACATGTCAGCAATCGGATTCTAAAACTAAAAGGAAAACTAAGACGTGCATTAATTACTCGCGGCTAAATTTTTCTGTTCGACTTGCCGCTAATGAAGACATTTTTAGACAGGGACTGAAAGTTCTTGGAACAGCAGTGTTACAGGTGGTGTAGTCTACTTTGTTTGATTATGGGGAAAAAAAGATTATATAGGAAATATACACTCAGCTTAAAGTAAGCCTTGAGCAGGTTTAAATAAAAGTGCTCTAAATGTGTATCTCTAATGGGCAACATTGGCCAGGGATAGTCTTGAATGCTTTTTGGTAAAGCCATGATTGGAGCACTAAGCTTCATTATGTTTTCTTAAGTTTTCCATTTTTTTTAAATATTTCCCTCACAGGTCACCTCACGTCAGATTTACCTGCTTTGCAAGTAGTTTTATCATCACTGTAAAAGTTTCTGACTCATCAAATCAAATAGGCGTTGCACAAGGCCCAAGCATGTTCCACATAAAAAGGAAAGACAAGGAGAAGGAGAAGGTCAAAGAAAAGGACCCGGGCAAAAAAGAAAAAGACAAGAAGGAGAAGAAAGACCCCATGTCCCAGGCAGAGCTGAACAGCCTGGATGAGATACGCATCCGTCGAAACATCTTCCACTCGGGCAGCTCCAAACGGGGTGCCAAGAAAAAGTTGGAGATCTCCAATCCAATTCCAATCAAAGTGGTGACCAACACGGAGCTCAGCCTGACCAACCTGCAGGCGGAGCCCCTTCCCGACACCCAGAGGCAGGATGTGGGCCAAACCTGTCCAAGTACGTCTGATAAAGACAGAAGTGAAGTAGAGCACATCCGCAGCTCCGTGAAAGAAAGGGCGGCAAAGTTTGGGGAACTAGCTAAAGCCAACTCGTTAGGGGGTCAGAGGCAGGTCAGTACAAATCAAAAGAGCAAAGAAACTAGTTCCTTTTCAACTTCAAGTCCCTCTGTTCAGAAAAGGACAACGAACTGGTTGTCCCATCCCAACCCAGTGCGCGCCGTCAAGGTTCACATTCCCGAGGTGGTGGAGACCACCTTCCCTGGCACAAACTTGGAGCTGCCGATGCTCGTCCCTC